GTCTCAGAGCGGGGATGCAGTGAAGTGGGTTTCTGTGTTGTGGGTGATTCGCCGGGGCGTTTTGCTGAAAACGGTTTAGCGTTCGGCTCCCGAAAAGTGCCAGATACTGCAAGCTCCCTTCCATAGATGGTTCTTGTCTGTGCATTCGTGCAGACTTGCGGTCTGTCTCCCATTGGCTCGTTTGTGAGAGTCCCTGGCGCCTGTACTCTATGGACTTGCAGGCGCTCGACACACTTCCGACTCCGCACCTCGCTGCTGAATCTGAAGCCTTCCAGGCCGGTCTTGGGGCTTCGCATTGAAAACGGCTAGCCGAGGAAGCCTAGAACGAAGCGATTCATAGGGGGTTTAGATCACTGAGCGACTCCGTGGGTGCCTTGCTACTTGTAGCTGCTGGGCAGCTTGGGAACCGACGTCCTCCACATCTGAGTGTGATATGAAACACTCGTACCTCTTGGTTTGACAACCTCTTCATGAGACACGGCTTCTCGTTAGATGCATCTGAGGCCTCACACGTCAGAGTTGCGAGCACGGTTGTCACCGCAGAAGCGACAGGTCCTGGACTCAAAACAACCTCTTGCACTCACCAGCCCCGCCATTCTCCGCTGTGAGAAGGACAGGCGCAGATCCATCATGGAGCGACGGAGGAGGTCAGTACTTCTTCGACCCAAACCACGCCTTCCGAAGGAGAGAGACCGTCCAAACACATACACATAAGCAGGCTCGTATTAGGTTGAATGGCATCGAGACAAGCTTGCTCGTTTCGCTTCCAAATGGCCAGCGAATGTTACAACTCGCCCCTGCAACTCCCGTTTCCAAACACCCGAATCTGGAAATCACAATGGTTTGCTGGCGGAACGTGCTGCCTTTAATCCCCTGTGTTGAGATTGAGTAATTGTGCGATCTGAATGGCAGCGTGCCTGGGCCCTCAGTCACGCTGAGGGTTTTCATGGCTCGCCAGTGGGGGGGGGGGGGCGGGGGCATGGGCGAGGAATCATGCCAGGATGGACAAAGAATCCGGTGTGTTTCTACAAACGATACCTTATTTGGGTGCTTGTTCACGAAAGCTGGCACGCTTGGGAGGTCGTTTACTCCAAGGCCAGTAGGCTGGTTGCCATGAATCAGCACATACTTTCGTCTGGCCGTTGAGGAGCCAGCTCGCGTGGATGCTGCAACTTTTCGGAGAACCCGTGCCACGCCTCCCGTGAACGAGGTCGTCAGATTTGTGAGTAACTTGAACAACGGCGTCATGCAAGCTTAAAGGACGCTCATCGCCGTGCTTGCGTGAGGTTGCGGTTCAGTCCACCAGACCTTCCTGCCGCCAGGCGCCGGCCTTGTTTGATATCCCTGCTTGAGACGGCGGTGTTCCATCGTCCTTCCCCACTGAAAACGACGTCTCCTGACGCAGTTGCGCTCCGGGGCGCCCGCACAGGTGGCCCCTGTGCAGGAGGACTCTAAGCGCGAGCGTTGCGCAAGAAGACAGAAACTGCAAGTGTGGATGTCTTTAGTCAGCGCTGCGTTATTCGGTGCGAGGACTTGGGCTGCCCGAGTCGATTGACATGCCGGAAGGAGGTGCTTCCGTACAGAGCAGAGCATCTGAAGCGTTTGTTGGGAGGATGCGCATGTGTGGGCATGCAGATGTCAGATTTTAAGGAAGGGAGGATGCGGCAGGCCTAAGCATATCTTAGAGTCGACTTCAGAACTACCTCCCCTGATTCTGGCCCAAGGGTTTCCATAACCCTCACAGTTCCAGTCAACCGTGGTAGTTGTGCACAGCGTGCCAGCCCAGCCCTCGGTTCCGACAGACACGAGCCTCCGTGGACGACATTGCACAAGAGTTCGGGGTCCTTTCTGGTCTGCGACTTCGTCATAGACTTTGGATGGCTTGAGTCTCGATGTCACACTGAGGCCTCCTTCGTTTCAACCTCCAAGCCTGCATCTATTGCTGCTCGTCACTTAGCCGCACCTTAGAAGAACTCCTGAATGTCTTGTATCAGTGCCCAGGTTGAGTGCCTCAAAGCGGAGACACGAGAGGCTGCTGCTTGAAGTGCAGACTTTCGTTTTGTGGGAGGCTGTAGCTGACTTGAAGGATCATGCCGAAGAATTCTGACCTGATGAAGTACAACTCGCTTCTAGGCCAGGGTGGTGCCTGTGAACCAGCTCGATGAGTGCACTCTGACCTGGAGGAGTCAAGGGCTTCAACATTCGCAACACCTTCATTGAGTTTGAGGCTTGCAGGGCCGTAGGCCGTGAATATTTCGAAGTCCGCGCTGTGCTGCTTTTGCCTCTGCATAGAGATGTGTAGACTGACATGACTCAGGGAGTCAGGGACGCACAGGAGCACAGTGACTCATCAGGATGAAGACATGCTCGGTGAGTTGGACGTCGACCCCAGGGGCACCTTTGGGCGCCAGGCAGTCCTTTCCCAGCGCATTTCGCTTCTCCAGAAAAGGGTCGAGCTCAAGGCTCCCTGTTTTGGGTCCCCCCTTTCTCGTCAGGCCTCCGAGCCCGCGAAGCCCAGCAGTTGGAATCGCCAAGTCTCGGCCACTTTGACTGCAGCGATTGCATCGCCCCGAATTCTTAGGTGTTTGCCCCGCCGGCTGTAGACTGCTGTAGACTGCCCAAGAAACTCAGGAGCAGACGACAGCGGTCACTGCCGAAGGGACTGAGGAATGACATGCTCAGTTTCAGCTCATTGCTTGCTGTTCAATCTAGGGTAAGCCGAGATATGGCATCTTTCAATGCCCAAGCAGAAATAAGCTTGCATCTCCTGGCTCATGCCCCGCCGTTCTTTCAAGACTCTTCTTCCTGAAGCTGGACCTGGGGTAGGTCGCAGGGTACTGCACGTTTCCGCTCCCCGTTTCTGTCAGGAGGGCACCATCGATGTGGAAGACTCCCTGCACTTCCCCGCGACCGACTTTCAAGGAAACGGGTACAAGTAGCATCTCGGGGCCTCACGACCGGGATTCTGACGCTACTTTGAACCTCGCGCAATCGAGATGCAGGCGATACATCCACGCATGTCCACGCTGCGAGTCGGCCATTCTTGCCAGGCCATGTCTCCGGCGAGATTTTGGCAAACGCTGCCAAGATGGGGACGAGTCCGGAGCTTGCAATTAGGCGACTGTCTCAAGACTAGCAAGATAAGCTTGCGCAGCCCATAAGTAGTCATAGATGCATAAGATACACAGCCCGTAGACAAGACATGAAAACTACCGGACGATGCAGGCACTTGGAAGCATTCTCGAGTTTTAACGGAATGTTTGCCAGACGACGGTGCGCGCAGAGGGCTTGGCATGGATCAAGACACCTTTTGCTGCTTGACCCCCCTGTTCCGCGGTGTCGCCATGGCGAAAGTGACACCCAACGCAGCTGCTGCAGATGTGGAAGATGGATCCGGCTTGCCAACACCAGAATCTCCACCCTTGCCGACAACGTTGGCAGTGATGAAGGCCCTCTCAAACTCCAGCAATTGTTTTCCCATTTCATGCTGGATGAATGGTTGTGAATGGTAGGCAAAGCGATCTTCCTGCCATCCCTTTAAAACTTGTTTGTTTGTCGCTGCAGGTTGCGTGCAGGAAGAACGCGTTCTTGGCCATGAAGCGTGGCCGCTTCATTGCGGGTCCCTTCCAAATGCACCTGGGTCAGATTGAACCAGCCGAGATTGCACGTGCATGTATGTATGTATGTATGTATGTATGTATGTATGTATACATATATATATATGTCTTTAGTTTGTGGGTGATTTTTTTGTGCGTATGTGAGTGTGTCGTAAATTGCCTGTCCAGGTGCATCCAACTCGGCTTCACTGATGCCCGGCAGCAACTTTCAGAGTCATCCAGGCTGGGAGTTCTTGATAGTCTAAGGTTGCTAGCATGTAGCTGGTTACTGCAACTAAATCAAGACACGGCAGACCCCTAGCTTGAGACTGCTCTTTGCGTCAATGCCCCCTTCTGGGAAGCCACTGGTTCCGCTTAACTTAAGGTTATGATGTACTACATCTTTCAAGGCATCGTTGAAGATGTCGAGCGAGAGAGCGGCGTCAGACTAGGGCGGTTCCTGATGGCATCCTTTATGCCGTTGAATACGCTTTTGGGCATTGCTTTCTCGATGAACCCTGCTGTCTATGACATTGTTGGCGAGAAGGACCAGAAGATGAAAATTCTGCAAAACATATATGGTCTGTCAGAAAACATGTACTGGCTGAGTTGGTATGTCTTCTACCTTGCCATCGCATTCATCTGTTTGGTCCTCATCTACATTTGCTGGCTCGCTGTGATCCCTGTCCTGGACACCGTCAACTTCTTTATCTCCCTGATAATCCTTTCGACGGGTTTCGTGCAATCCATGGCGTTGGCGCCTACGGCAGGCATTAGTCGGGTTTGCAACCGACGTCAGTAAAAGATCAAGTTCGAGTGGTGCTTAGTAGACGATCTCGGCAGCTCCTGCCACTCAGGTGTTCTGTCTCAGTATTTTTATCGACCGTCCGAAGGTTGCGGCTGCTTTCTTGCAAGACTTGTTGAAGACACTACTTGTATGTTGGAATGGGTGGCAAGCAACTAATGTTTTCTTTTGGAGCCTTCGCTGCACGATCCCAGGATTTTGTAATGAGCTTCGTCACGATGATCATCGTCTGTGGCAGTTCTGGCCTGCAGCAGCTCGATGGCTCCGGCTGTCACAGTTTTGACTCTTGTGGGGTTGGGTGGGATGAACAGTTTGGGCGTGGGCAGGCGGGGGGTTGCGGGGGAAACGTTTTTGTCTCATGCTCCTTGCTTGTTCAGAAGCCGATGCCGTCGGCATTTAGGGCATTTCGTGCATATGTTCGAATCCGGCAGTTCTTGAACGATGTTAGTTTATTTGGTTTTTTCTGGGGTTTTGGATATTTGCTTGGGTTACGGGTGTAGGCCTTTTCTTGCTTTGTTTTGGGCAAAAAGCACCGCGCAACTTGTAATCGTTTCCCCCGAATATTAAAAGGGGGGCCCCCCCGCCCACCCACCGCCCAATCAAAACTCGGAAAGTTTTTTGTTATTAGGTTTGTTTTTATCGCTACTGCCACTTTTTGAGGGGTTGTGCCCTTGCTCCTGCCCTGGCTCTTGCTTCTGCTCTTGCTGCTTGCTCCTGCTCTTGCCCTTGCTTTTGCTCTTGCTTTTTCTGTGCTCCACGGGTATTTGGAGCCTCGAAACCCTCCCCCTAATTCAGAATAGGTCTTAAAGGGCAGGGATGATTTCGGGAGGATTTGCCGCAATGCGTTTTTATTGTGATGGGGATCTTCAATAAAAGGGGGAAGTGATTCGCCCAACTCTGCAAAAAGAGCCTCCGAACACGGCATGCAGAAAGCGTAAGATGCGTTAGCTCTGTGGCCAGAGCGCTACATTTATGGTTTGACAGAGCAAGAGGATAGGCTGAGAGACCATTTCTCCGGCTGCTCTACCGTAGCTGCTAACTACGAGAGCCTGGTCTCCACGAAGGTCCGTGTGCACTAGGTCTGCCTTGGATCCGACATCCTTTCCATCAGGTTTCTGACAAGGGAGGCAACCTGGATCGGCTGGGTAGGTGGATTCATTCCCTTCTGCAATGCCCTTCGGCTGACATTTTGTGAACATTTCCTGCAAGCCACAGCATACCACGGCAGCTATAATTCAAAAGTGTACGGAGGTTGCAGGAGACTGCGCTCAGGTTTTTCAGGCGTTAACTTCCATGCTGTGGCTCAGTGCAGCCCGGAGCTGTGATGCGGCTGGGCTGCGAAGACAGTGACAAGTCGAAAGAAGCCCAAGTCGAAGTAGAGCAGAATTCGGGGGCCTCGCAAATCGCCAGAAGTTGCAAGCTCAGGACTCGGGCGCATGCCAATTTATCGGCGTGCCTCGCTTGCAAGAAAGTTCGAGGCCTAGGGCCTAGGGATTACGCCATTACGCAAGCAGCGCGTGGCATGTTAGGTCAACTTCGACACACTCTGGGTCACGGATATTTGTATGCTGGATTATTACCCTGGTGTTGTTCCTTGCTTTGAGCAAGCGGAAGCGACGATCTTCCCGCTTGGCTGGGCAATGCTCCTGATGGTAGCCTCTACGGTGTCAGTAGTCATCCTTGTCTGGTGGCTGAGCCATGTGAGGCAGGGCCAGTACGGCATGGCGAAGCCCATGTGCTTCTGCCTTATGGCCAAGTATATGTGCCCGAAGCGCGTGAGTGTCAGCAGCGATGCGAGCCAGCAAGATACTACAGCTGAAGGACGGTGCGTGTTATCTATACAGCACTTGCACAAAGTTTTTGGAGATGGCAAGGTGGCTGTGGATGACCTCTGCCTGGAATCGTATTCGGGAGAGATCTTCGCACTTCTTGGCCACAATGGTGCTGGCAAAACAACTGCGCTCAACTGTGCCGTGGGGCTTATACCGCCAACATCGGGCGAAACATACATCAATGGTCACCACGTCCGATGCCGTTTTCAAGCTAGTCTGACGTTGCCAACGGCTCGTTTGTAGATACTGTAGTTTGTGTCACGCTTGTATACGGTGTTAAGAGGAGATGCATCCCTTCACTGAGGAACTGATCTGCAGCGAGCGCGCCATCAGATCTCTATTTGCCCACAAGATAACCCAAGCTACCCGGAGTTCACTGTGCGACAGCATCTCAAGTTCTTCAGTGTCTCAGCAGTTAATTAAACAGTCATACCAGTATTTGGGTCTTTGTCGCCTGTGTAGTTTCGACTTAGCCTGTTTCAACTGATGGAGGATGGTGTTCTGTTGTTTTCACGACTTGTCTGCGGAGGCATGCTTCGAGGTGTTGCAGAATCCGATGTCGATGGTCAGACTAGCCTCTCGATCAGAAGACCAGCAAAGCGCGAATCGCAACTAGACCACCCATGTTAATGACTCTCAGCAGCCATAGGTGCGCAAGGGCTCACAAGGGCAGCTGCGGTAGTTTGTTCACGTCGACTGCAAGGGCGAGGAATAGAACTAATGACTCCAGCAGCCATTCGATCACTGCATTCTTCAGACCGAGGTGCGATCCTGAAGGCTTTGGGCTTGGAGGAGTCTGGGCTTAATTAGCCTGGGAAGCTTGATCCTGGCCTCCCCAAAGAGATGCTACGGCAAGGAAAAGACGGACAGCCAGTGCGGGAAACTCTCTGGAGGGCAGAAACGGAGGCTGTGGGTTGCCACAGCGCTGCTACTGGGCCAGAATTCTGTTCCCACGCATCGTGAAAATAGGGAACGACACATAGCCAGTGTAATTGGCCTTTCGGACCGTTCATTGGGGGTTGAGCCGTGTCAGCCGTCAAGGGAAACACTGCCACACAGCCGGAAAGGGCTTTGAGCTTCTCGAGCTTTACCCGATTGAGCTGGAGCTTTGTCTGTCAAGGATTGGTGCCTCACCAGTTTCTTTCCTGGATGAACCAACCAGTGGCATGGACTCTTGGAGAATAAACCGTGCACGCCGTACTTGAAGGAGTAAGGATGCAGTCACACAGAACCGGTTGTTCACAGGGGACAGCACCGCACAAACATCCTGGCCTGCAAAGACCAGGACCCGTCCTCGCGGCGAGAGCTGTGGGATCTGTTGCTAAGAATGCGGGACACAGGCACGTTTGGGCCTGGATAATGCGTTCAGGGACCTGGCAAGATGAGAACAGGGGTGAGCGATCGTTTGAGGCCACTGCAGAGCAGAGCCGTCAATTCTGAGCATGATTTGCATTGTTATGACAGGGTGCCAAGAGGGTTGAACTTTCTGCCTTCCAAGACGCCACGGGAAGTCCCTTGTCATGCGGGCTCCGGATTCCCTGCAGGCCGCTGCATCATCTTCACGACACACTATCTGGAAGAAGCGGACATTCTCGCAAACCGCAAGGCAGGATCTACAGGTGCCGCTGATGCTTTCCTTATGCTGCACATCAGCTCTCTTCAGGCTGTGCTGGCCCGTGGGAAAGTACAAGCCGTTGGGACTTCGCGCGAATTGAAGCACAGGTTTGCTTCTCAGCGGTCTCAGGCTTTGTTCGCTGCGCGAAAGCCATGCGGACAGGTTTGGAGTTGGCTACCGCCTCACGCTTGCTCTGAGCCCCGACGGAAGTGCGCCGGCCGGTGAGCTCCAGCGGTTTGCTCAGGACAGGGGCTGTCCTAAGAACCGAAGAACCGTCCATCTGATTCGGGAAAGGACCAGCAGGCAATTGACGGAGACGACTTCCGCTCGTGACTGGTAGAAGTTCCCCGCCATTCCCACCTGCACGAGTTCCCTGTTCCCGTCCGTCCCGCACCAAAAATGTGGCGCGCTGACGCGCAGGGGAGGGGGGCGACACCTTCCTGAAGCTCGCAGAAAGAAAGATAGATGGAGATAGAGAGTGTGTAGGTTCGTCTAGGTGAGCTTGTCGGCGAGGGAGACAGGCCGAGGGAGGGAAGATGTTCGGCACCGAACCCAAGCTTGCTTTCGCTGTTGTGACGCACCTTCTCAGGAGTATGTGCCATCTGCAGCCCTGGAGGAAGGAGCTGATGAGGCCCCTACGCGGGGCTCGGCTTGTGTTTCGCACCGGCATGCCGATTGTTCTTGACGCACCTTCTCTGGCATTCGCAGGATGTCAGGCAAGTGAACATTACCTTAAGCTTCGAAGAGGTTGACAAGTTCTCGAGTCTGCTCCAAGCACTGGAGCAATCTCAGGAGCGGCTCGGGGTACTGGACTACATATTGGGGATGTCTTCCCTGGAGGATGTCTTCATGGCTTTGGGCAGGCAGGCAGAAGAAGAAGCAAAGCGAGATGAAGGGGACAGGACTCCAGCCAATGTGGACTTCCAAGAAGTTGAGGCCGAATCTCCTGTGACGCAGCCTCGGGCAGAGTCTTCCGAGTGGCGCAACATAAAAGCGGTATTCTCGCTGCGGCTGTGTGCTATCAAATTGAATCGGTTCAGGGCCTCGATGGTGATATTCGTACCCATCTTGCTCCAAGTGGCCGGCTTGAGCCTTGCGGGCTTGGGTTCTACACAGAGCGACGGTGGAACTAATGGCTATGCCATTGCAGTGTGCCCTGGCACGTTTGGCTACCAGTAGTTAGTCATGGGGTTGCACATCATCCAGGCCCCAGGCAGTTGATGCATCATGATTGTTGGCCTCATGTACAGACATTTAAATGACTACCAGTGTTGTCCGAGGTACCCAGCCATGGCCTACGGTATTTCTTTGATCAACTCGGCATCGGACGTGGTCGCGGATGTGAAGAACAAGTGCAAGTATGTGTCGATTTCGCAGGGCCTCACTCCACGAGCGTACTGGTTGGGCAGCTTCTTTGCACATGCCAGCCTCCTCCTTCCCCTGTCGCTGTCCTTTACTGTCCTGTTTTTCGCAATGCGTCCGGCGTCTATACCTATTCAGAGCGCTCCACTGGCTGTGCTTGCAATGTTCGCATACCCTATTCCTACCACTCTTGCGATATACAACTTGGCCTCGGCGTTTTCCACCGCAGAGCCGGAGTCCCAGATGCTGTTCTTTGTGGCGGTTGACGGGCATGTGGTGCTTGCCGCTGTTAAGCCTGCGTGAGAGACCGTTGGATCCATGCTAAGCACCCCACGGTCAGGTCTGTGTCGAAGATCGTGCCGGCGCTGCTGATTGCTACGATCTTGTTGCCCGGCATGGCGGTTTGGGTGTTGTCAGCATCTTTCATCCCGGCGAGTTTGTCTGACGTTGCGATGGCCTGGCACATTGCGCACTCCATTCTCAATCCGTGCTACTGCTTGCCGGGCGTGATGTCCTACCTTGTCAATGTGGACGGCCCCAAGAACCTTTCCGCCGGGGAGCGACTGGGATAAGATCACACACGAACATGTGACTTGTGAGCAGCTGAAGGGGCGGGAGCTGTTGCCTGACTGCCTCGTGTTTCTTTCTCATAGAGCTTGCCGACCTCTGCTTTGGTGTTGCACAAAAGAACATTGGCAATTGGCCTTGTTGTCCGCAGGAGTACTTTGGGTCTTTGTCAGCCCTTCCGCTGTACATGATGCCTGTGACTTCTGCTCTGTACCTGGCCAACCTCATTCGCTTGGACGCTCGGCTTCTGACGATCTCGCCTATGGGTGTCTTGGGCTGCTTGGTCTTCCGATGCACTCCTTGGCATGGGCAGTGAACAAACATGTGACCAATACTGGGATTGGGGCTTGTCGGCTTGTCGTTGGAGTTAGGCTCGTTTCGCTGCAGTGGCTCCAAGATTCCGTGTTTCGCTTCACTGCATTGCTCTCCCACGTCACTGGCTGCACGCATCCCTAGTCAACTTCCTCCTTGCGCATGCTTTCGTCAGTTTCTAAATCGCGATTCGACGTGCTGACCTGGGCCGAGGATACCAAAAGCTACAAGAACAAGCCTGCGAAGCCATCCGGGGAACGAGCTACGGCGGACGACGAGGACCGAAGCCCATCATACTCCATTAGACCAGAATACTCCTTGAGCCAAAGCGTTCTCATCTCGTTGCAGCTCTCTAAGACCTGCCGGGGGCTCTGCAGAGCGCCCGTAGTACCGGCCGCATATCTATGTCGTCTTCGTGGTTTCTTGTTCTCGTCATCGTCCTTAAATCGTCCTTGCCAGATGGCTAGCAATCTTGCTACTCACGCGATGCCAGCTGGTCAGTCTTCATTCCGCCTGACGTGGGGAGACCATGCAAACCATGTGGCATCGCCAGAAGCAGGCTGCATCCTGGTGGCTATCAGGTTGGTCGGTTGGTCAGTGACGTAGATCCTGGTGGGACCTAGCGTAGGAGACCCGAACGCCTAAAGCTTCGGGTTCGGCAAGCGCTGGTACTTGGCCTGACGAAGCTGTTCGTTTCACCGGGGATAGTCGGGTTTGGTGCAAGCAGCCCTGTCCACTGGCGGTTCCAGGATGTATTGGCCGAGGAGGATCGTTGCCGGCAGGAACCTTGGCGGAGAATTTGCGGTGCTCTCAGGTCGCCTAATTTCCGTTCGGGCAAGACCGGCTGTTGGCATGCACAGGTCGGGTAAGCTATTGGTAGCATGCCAGGGATCCTTGCCCTTCCCGGAGCGAGTGAGACAGCCGGGGCCTAGCCTGGTGCCTCATATCCAGGCGGCTGCGGCAGACGACGCAGCCAGGTATGAAAAGCTGAGCCACACATACAGGGTGGCAGATACAGGATCGCGCCCAGCTGCTGCCTGCCTGCAATCATGAATCGATCGGCTGCTGCTGATTCTGCTGTAGTCCGATGCCAGCCAATCCGAAGTACGGCAATTCATGCCTAGAGCTTCCTCTGTGGGTTTTTCCTGCTCGCAGAGCGAGGAGAATGCCGAAATGTTAGCTATTCTGATTCAGTCAGCATGCACAGGACATCAGCAACAGGCATGTACTCCAACTCAGGCTTGTGCCCACTGCACGCGCGAGTACAAGCCACTTGGTTTTGGAGACATGAGAAAGACCAAGTTCAACCCTGGAACTAAGCACAGTGTAAGTATCTGCTGTACCGGCTGCACCATGTGCTTTACTGTCTCAGGTATGTGAATGCTGTGAGAGACATCAGTCTCGGCATCCAGAAGGGGGAATGTTTCAGTCTCTTGGAGCAGGGGTTTCTTGGAGCAAAATCTTGTTCTCTGCTGCAAATCTGGAGAGCGCCCAAGGTCTACTTGGGCCAAACGGAGCTGGGAAGACGACCACTCTTGGAATTTTGACCGGGGAAATCAGGCCGGAGAGAGTTACTCGTTCGCCCTTCCGTCGTTTTCGTCGAGGAGGAGGTACCTGGTGTCAGTGACTGTCCCGATCAGGAATCCCAGCGCTGGAAAAGTCAGCATTTTTGGCCACAACATGGCGCATGAAAAGGAGCCCTGGGCCTTCGGACCGTTTTCGTGGCAGCTGAAGAGTCAGTCAGTGACGGGTATACTGTCCATGCCCATGCCTTTGTGTTTGTGTTTGATCGGTTTTGGCTATCGATCTGCGTTCGGTGAAGTCGCGTCTTTGCTTGGCGTGCTTTCTGCTTCAGGAGCGAATTTCTGCCTTCGACCTGTTGGGTGTTTGCCCCCAAGTGGATCCCTTGTGGGTGCTTTCGGCTGCATCAAGAAGTTCGTCTAGCCTGGTTGGAGTGGCGCCACAAGGTCACAAGGCTCTTCTGTTGCGGGGCCAAGACTTCAGATGCCGGGTAGCTGAAAGGCTTAGCACCTCAAGCATTTGCAGATAGACCGGTCTTAGATTCGGTTCTCCGTGAACTTTGAAAGTCCGATTGGTGGGTGCGGATGAGCCCTACGGATCAAGGTCTCACGAGCCACTCAAGAAGCAAAAACCTCGTCAATGTTCAGATACTACTCGGCGCAGAAATGTATCTCAACATGGCTAGTGCTGCAAAGGGAAAACTCTTGATAGGCAGCATTGCTTCTTGTCAGGATGATATTTGCGGCAACGACCATCTTATGCAGCTTGGAAACTCGTGTTTTTGTGGGCCCTGTCATGCATGATGCCTTGCTGCAACAAGTCATGCCATGAATGCGGCTTGGCACCTGCCTGTGCCGATCTTTTCATGCATGGTCAAAAGACCAAGCAGCGTTTTGGCTACCCTGTCCTTCCATCCCGTTTAGTGCCGCATCTGTCCGTGCAGGGTGGACATGGCAAACAGCGTGGCTTTCGTAGCGCCTGCCCTCCAAGATGCGGGAGTGGCAAGGCAGATCCACACTGCACCGGTCTCCCCGAGCCCCAAAGCTTCCAGCACT